GTTGAAGATCTATAGTTGCATTTTTCTAAAGGTTAATTTGATGAGCTTGAGGTTGAGCTTAGAAGACAACCAACTCCAGTATATAGTTGGAATTACAATAGATTTACTTTAAACTATAGTTTTTAAAAAATCATGAAAAATTCTAGTTTAATGACAACTTCAAAAGTTGATTTTCTTTAACCGTTGTTTTAAAAAGATATTAATATGTAATTTAAAGTTTCTTTTTGGGTGTATTAATGTATTAGATATGTGTTGCGAACATTACATGAAATGCAATTTGTCTTTATGTGTGAAAATGTCTCATGAATTTTCCCCCAACCTATATACAATAAAACATCTATAAATTAATATTTTATGAATCAATAATTTTTTTCCGTCCTAAGTTGGGATCAATACAAAAAATAAAAGCAATCGATAAAATAATAAAAATAATAATTTTTAGAAGACCTCTATATAAATATTGGTCAACTCAATGGAATTAATTAATAAATACACAAAATAAAAATAAAAGAAATATCAAGGTTTATTAAAATACGAGTATAAGATAGTTATTTTTTCCTTAAAATAAATATTAAATTCACATAATCCAAACTTAACTTTATCTCCTAGTTCCTAGAAATTAGAATTTTCTTTTTTTAGTAAATTATTATTTTACTAATCTACCAATTTATAAATAAAAATTTATTGTTCGATTAAATAATATGTTTATAAATCAACAAAATTTGGTATGAGAGTATTAATTTATTGATGTTTGATTGATTAATTAGTGACCACACAAAATAAGAATAAAAAAGTAAGAAATTTTATTAAAATATGAATATAAAGATAGTTGTTTTTTTTCTTGAAATCTGTACCTAAAATGATAAGTTAAACATAAATTTATATAATCCAAACTCGACTTTATCTCCTACTTATTAGATTTTGAAAGTTCATTTGTCAATTTTTTTTTCTAAATTTATAAGTTATTAATTTATCAATAAATTATTAATTATTAATATATCAATTAAATAATAAATCTATAAATAAGAAACTTTTGATGTCATGAGAGTATTAACTTATAAGTTTTTTACCGTATTTAAGCAAATGTGGAGATCAAGTTCTGGTGCCACCCTCAAGTGATTAATGTTGATAATGATTCCAATGCCGAAATAGTTTCCAATCTAATAACCTTTGAATCGCGTCTGATAGTGGCGACATACTATTGTTGCTAGTATGTTCTGATTTGTTATTCGTGCACAAATCCATCAATTTATGTAACCATACAACTGGTTGTGTTCACACCTTGCTTGAAACAAATCCTTTGACCGGGTATAAGAAAGAGGAGATGTTCATGGATCCTATCGTGTTTGGGCGTATTCCTTCGGAGAGAAAATACATGGAGGTAAAGATATAGAAACGAAGGAGGAGGAAAAAGGATGATAGCCAAAAAGTTTTGCTTCAATAGTAGACCATCATTATCACCGTGGAGACAATTTAAATGTACTTTAATGTAGAATGGATGCGTATGTTCTTGTAGAGAATACAAATTGAACTAAAATAGTGCAACTATATTAAATTACTAGATTTTAGCCCATGCTTTCTTACATGTTATTTTAATTCTTGAGTTACAATTATATATATATATATATATGTATGTGTATATGTATATGTATGTTATGTAAATGTTGACTTTTGAAAATTGTAAATATTTATTTCATTAAACAATTAAAATACTTGAGAAAACAGTAACGCCATGTTATAATTTAATTGTATAATATTGATAGAGTAAATTTGACTACTATTTAAGTATATAATAATGTATATGATAAACTAATTAATAATTGATCATTTTATCTAATTTTCTACAAAATTTTCTTATCCGCAACGTTTGTTGTAAGACTATTAACACTACCTTTGTCGTTATTAATTAGAACTTTTTTATACTATCTTTTAATTTAACTTTGCAAAGTACAAGTCGTTAGTAAATACAAGTCATTTCAAATATATACTTAATAGTGCGAGAAAGAATGATCTTAACTGTCATTGATTGTCATAACAAAATAGATGACAATTATTGTCTATTATTTGGCTAAGGATCACCAAGTCCACTTTCTCCACACCACTTTCTACAACAATACACCAACGAATTGCAAGTGTCCTGTTAATTAATGCTTATTTGATATCCACTAAATTAGTTAATCATCCTTAGATCCTTCAGGAGTTCAAGTCATTCAACTTAACAATTTTTACAGTATAATTACTACATCTAATTGTTTCATCAGGTTCACTCCTTTTTATCTTGGAAAACTCTAATATTTCAGCAACGATTTTGTCAATGATACCAAAGATTAATATACAGAGGCATTTTCAAAAAAAAAAAAACCATCCAGAGGTATGCATATTGCTGGCCGTACTCCACATTTTGAATATCCTTGGCATCCTCAAGCTAAATAGTTATCATTTATTCTCTTATATTATTTTGAAAATCTGAATGTCTTTTTTGAGTCTACTGTATTATATGGAGTTCGTGAATTCTTCTGCTTTTTATGATTCGAGGAACAAACAGGATAATTCACTGAAATTGAAGCCGAAAATTGCGACTCACATTGTGAACAATCAAGAGGTTGTGAACATTATGACTATTGCCAATGCTTCACTGAAGCTGAAAATTCATAATCAATAGAGATGTTTGGATATTAATATATCTTAGTTTTTTCAAAATGTAATAATAGAGACATAGCATATCAATTAATTTTGGATGGTTTTGATTTTTGGTACTCAATTAAGCTTTCTTTCTTCTCAACAATTCATAAACCCAACGATTGAAACGTAGAGGAGATGGGGGTTTATGGTGGAGGCGGAGGAAAGATGAAAGATGGAGAATTTTTGTTTTGGTCTTCTTAAATTAAGTTTCGTAGGAATAATAAGGTCCTGGTTTGTTTGGCCAACCTTCCATTTTGCATTTTGTTTCATTTTACTTCTTAAACACAAAACCCAATAGAAAAGAAAATATAATTCAAACAACGGTCTGATTTACACTTTAAATTCCAACTTGAAACACTTTTTGTTAGTGTAGTGACCATTTTAGAACTACAAATAGTTCAGTGACAAATTTGGCAGGATTCTGTTGTTGAGTGATTGTTTTTAGAAAAGTTCTTTTTTTTGCAGTAACTATGATTGACAGTATTTAATTGTTTAGTGATGATTCGTACTATATTTTCAAAATGTAATTCAAAATATTTTTTTCAAAACCAACATCCAAACAACTTTTTGCTCAAAATACCATCCAAAAAACATTTTCATTTCCCATTTAGTTTTCAACTTGAAACACTTTCCACTTTTAAGTGGCAAAATGAAATGTAAGCTAATATCCAAACAAGCACTCATTCCCTTCTATTGGCTAGTTTTCACGAGTCCCTTTCTGATTCTTCATTATTTACGTACAGTTGTGATTCATGCTTCATTGTTGTACTTATTTATGTTGACATTATTGTTGTTGGAAATGACTCAATTAAGATTGGAAGACTTAAGCAGTATCTCAACAGTTACTTTCATATCAAGGATCTTGGACCTCTCAAGTATTTCCTTGGTATTGAGGTTACACGGTCTCCATCTGGCATTGCCCTTAACCAGCGCAATATGCTCTGGATATTCTCGCTGAATGCAGTCTTACAGGGTATCGTCCATGTTCGACTCTTTTTTTGGGAACCATAGCATCGCCTTGTTTCTGATTCTGGAGCACTTTATGATGAACCTGGGCAATATAGACGCATTGTTGGACGTCTTTTATAGTTGACGATCACTCGTCCTGATATTAGTTATACAGTTCATATTCTTAGTCAGTTCATGCAGAAACCACAACAACCTCATTTTGATGCTACAGTTCGAGTGTTGCGATATTTGAAGAATGCTCCTGGTCAAGGCATTTTTTTTCCGTCTACAAATTCATTGCATTTACGAGCCTATTGTGATGTTGATTGGGCAGGTTGTCTTTGTACACGACAATCACTACAGGTTTCACGGTTTTTCTATCGTCATCACCTATTTCTTGGCGTTCCAAGAAACAAACAGTAGTGTCGCGATCTACCACCAAAGCTGAATATAGTGCGATGGCTAGTACAGCTAGTGAGTTGGTGTGGCTTGTTCGTCTCCTTTCTGAATTACAGGTGTCGTCTCCTGGCCTAGTTCCTCTTTTCTGTGACAATCAAGCGGCAATTCATATTACTGCTAATCCTATGTTTAATGAGCGTACGAAACACATTGAGATTGATTGTCATTTTATTCAGTAGCATTTCCAGTCCAAGCTTTTGATTCCTCGCTTCATTCCTTCTCAACACCAATTGGCAGATTTCTTTACCAAAGCTTTGGGCCGTGATCAATTTCATTTGCTTCTAGGCAAGTTGGTATTTTGAATTTATATGCTCCAACTTGAGGGGGAGTAAAGAAGTTTCTAGGATTTACCATTGTAACTTTGTATTTACGGCAGATATTTAACCTAGGATTTTTAGTTTACCATACTTATCACTTTGTAAACTCTATATAAAATCAAAATCACACGATCAATGAAAATTATTCTGATCATTTTCTTTATGGTTGTTCATTTGTGGTTGTTCATTTGTATATATGTAATGTTTGTGAGGGAGCAATGATCCAAATAGCTTGCTAATTAACTTGAATTTCTGACACCAGTGCTCTTTTTTGTTTATTATCCAAAACGATAGAGATAAAGATAGAATCATAAACAAAATTGGATATTACAGGATGAATTTCAAACAAGATTAATGACCTTCCCATTAAAACTCAATTTTGATACACACTCAATACAACAAAACCTACCATTTCTAGAAAATAAACACTGCTACATACTATTCCCTTTGTCCCAAAAAAATAGTCCACATTGCGGACTATTTAACTCCAAACACAATATGGACTATTTTCCTAGGATGGAGGGAGTAAATGAAAGATGTTAGAGAAAGTACGCGGCATCGACCTTCCACAATGTGCAACAAAATCAATCCATCTCAACAAACAGTTACTTCACAAGCTGGAGACACTGCGAAACAGGCGAATGTCTTCTGGAATGTCTTCTGGAGCAAACTTAACTCTGCTTCGAGATAATGAGCTCCATCACGATGACGATGGAATCCTACATCAAACGTTTTCAACACTAAAGCATGATTTAAGATAAACTTAAGCATCGCTATCTCAACCTTCAAGCCTTCAAATACCCAGTAATGAAAGGTGGTGATAGTAGATACCAAGCATTTGGGTACAGTAAGAGGAACTCTCCGGCTCCTGGATATGCTTTGTCTAAGTCGATTCCTACTGAAGATGCTGAGTTTATTTAAAGCCGGACAAGAATCAATCAAACCCATCACACAACTAAAAAATTCATAACCCCCATTAATTGTGATTTGCAAACTAGATAGTCTTTGGAAATTCGCAAGTAACTTGGTGTAATTTCCTCCATGTAGGGTGAGCATGTCTGAGTCTATTACTAGACATCCCACACGATCAAATGCTTGAATTAAGCCAACAAAAGATTGGCACGGGCTCGAACCAGTGAGCCTGACATAATCCAAACATGTTAACGTTGTTTGCAAGGATAGGATTTCCTTAGAGCTGTAGTCAGTTAAGGAGAGAAACTCAAGTCCAGGTGTATCAATAACCAGCTTGAAATCAGCATCAGGTGTGGACACCAAAAATAACAAATCAATACGTTTTAGTACAGGGGAAGATATTGTACAAACCACCATGTTATCATTCCAATCCCTTGTAATTTCTAGAGATGTGAGGCTTGGAGAACCCGAGATGAGGTTCGGGAGAGATTCATACGATTCATACCAAACGTTCTCTAGTTTCAAGTCAATTAGTTTTGGAAGACAAATTACGTGGCCATCATTAATGAGAATAAACAATCCATTCAATTTCAGAGCTTTTAGTGTCCCATAAGTGTATAGTTCGCTCCGTAACTCGATAGTACCGGCACGATGATCTCTCAGGATGTCGGAACTGCTAAGATCCAAATCCAGGGCTCCGAGGTTTCGGGCTACCGCAAAATCGATCCATTCATCGAGATTATCATAGTCAAAGTGGAGATCGTTGATCTTGAGATGTAACTTGTTCATGGAGACATCAATATTGTGATCAATTCGCAAAGCAGAGTCAACGAAGTCCACGAAATCATAATCACCAGCGTCGTTATCAACCCACAATCGATCATCCAAGTGGAAGTCGGTTCTTTTAGTCCAATGATATCTCCAACTTCTGGACAGAATACTTGTTACAACAGCAGATTCGATGGGAAGCATACGGAGGATTTGGCTTATGATTGATTCTGGTAAATTGCTAATCTGGTCCACTGGAATCTCATCGTCGATACCATCAATAGTACGGTTTTGCGACTCTTGGGCCGCGCCTTAATCACTCCGCGGTTCCATTGAGTTTCTAGTGGACGTTATTTCAATGGAAACCCTAATCGAACACTGTCCGAGATTAAGTTAGTATCGCGAAAAGGAAAAGGCTTTAAAGGAAACGAGATAATAATAAAAAACTAAAGGGAGAATTTTTATAAAGGGCATCATGAAGATAAAAATTATTAAGAAGGGAATTACTTATTTTTGTTCATTATCGTATTATTTTAATTTTTATATCACACTATAAATGACTATTTTATTCTTATAGACTTTTCAACACCCATTTTATTTACTTGTGAAACCAAAACTAATTTGCAACCTAACCTCTGTTCAAAGCTTAAAATATTCACAATCTAAAATTCCAGATTCCAATAATTCTACTGTAATTACTACCCAATAACCCTATTTTGAGTTCCACTCAAATCCATTTCATATGAGCTGAATTCATGCTACTCTAAAAAAGATAAATCAAGTTAAATTTCATGATTCATTCTAATCTTGGTTTATTATAAGATGAGGATATATTGAACTTACGGAGACAAATCTAATTTTGCAAGTTGCAACTTCGGCAGCCGTTGGCTCCGCCAAAGCAATCTCAAAGGTAGTGCTAGAGAAGAAAGTGCCCAGGGGACGTGAGAAATCAGGCCGGTGCTTTCAGATTAAAATCACTCTCTCGCAACGATTATCCAATTGACATGGTCTCAAAAGTTCAAATTAAATTTTTTTTTTCCGAAAATGTTCAATTAGATATTAATCGTATGGAAACCAATGTTTGATTTGCGGAAATAGATAGATAACAGAATTATGGTTCTACAATTGACGCCCAAGGAGAACACAATAAAAGGACAATATGACGAAAACGGTCGAAGTTTGAGCATTTGGTGAAGATGCCGCGGGTAGTGATTTGGGAGGAGAAAGAATCCGTCGAATGAAGGGAAAGGTCAGGGATGAAGGATAGTCTAGTCTTTTACTAAGTGAAAATATCATAGAAGTTTTTAAACAATAATAAAAAAATCCATGCTCTTCATAATAAATTAAAATTTTCCCATGCCCTAAATCAAAATTTTCCCAAAACTAAATAGGGGAGATTGCGACTAAAATCACCACACAAAAAAAAAAAAAGTTTTCGGAAAAACAAAATCGGGAATTTTAACTGTTTCCCACGCTGGCATTGATGGATATAATCTCGCTGTAAAATGATCATAATTCCTTGTGGGTTAATATAGATTATACATAAGCGATGAACAACAACATAAACGTACGGATGAATTTGATTTCACAGAGGAGAGACCGGATTTTCTTAGGTCCAACACCTTAATGTCTTCAACTCAATTAGTCCCTGATTTATGCAAGCTATCTCACGTTTTTCCCTTTTTTCTGCTGCCATGGTCAGCTAGCTACCTTTTTCTCCAGTTTTCAACTTAATTTTCTCACCAATTCGACTCGTGTTATGTTGCGTAAGTTTGTAGGTTCAAATTGAGTAAGAAGCTATACTTAGCACAACAAAGAAAAACCAAAGCTGAAAAGGTTCCCCACCGTTACAATTTGTTAGTAGCTACCAAACTTTGCCATTCGATCAATTCCAGTAAGAAAATCGAAATGATCAACGCGAAGGGGCTGTAGATAATGACATCCCATAATGATGAATATGGACCTCGATGATGATGATGATTGAGGATATAGTACCGGAACGGAAAAGTAAAAATTCTATAACAAACTTGGAAAATGAGGAGATAACCCAACAAATAGTTCTTACTTCTTAATTTTAATGGGCTACAACATTGTAAATAAGCGACTACAGAGTAAAAAAAATCCTGATGAATTTGATTTCGGAAATGAGCCAATTTCGTCTTTTCTTTTATGTGTAATATACCTATTTTTGACCCTGTCCAAAACAGATGTAATTGGTCACTGAATCTCACAAAATAATTTACAGGCAAGAGAAGGAGAGAACGAATCAATTTACGCGTAATGGGGATAAATCAATTAATATGAAATTAATGGATGCTTGTGTTCATGTAGAGAATGCAGGATGTTTGATTAGACTTCACAAGATGATTAGTTTATATTTGTGTACAATGTTTGTGACGAAGTGTATTACTGTAAGCAATAATCTTATTAATATGAAGTTCTGCTTATGTTCTCAAAATAAAAAGAAATGAAGTTCTGCTTCTAGTGCTTTTTTAGTTTTTTTTTTAATGTGATAATTTGCGAATCATGGTTGTCTAAGTGATAAGACCCACTCAACCTAAAGATTACATATTCGAGTCGCATCATAGTCTCTTTAAAGTTTACTGTAGTACTATGTCGTGAATGGAGCAACGTGCACGAATCGCAGCAAGCAGGATCTAAAGATCTTTGAGCACCAAAAGATTTCCCCTAGTTGTATTTATAGTGTAGAACTAGTGTAGTCGTAGATCTTGTGTAATAGTCTAGGTGTACCTATGAAAAAAAATTGTGATAATTTAAAGATAGAAATAAAGATTCATAATTAAAAAAAATATATATATATATATATATATATTTATTGGCCTAAGGACTTCATGGTTTACAGCAGATTAATACCATATATTCCTATCTCCACAAATCGATACTCTGCAAGCTGGAGACACTGCATAGCACATTAATGTCTTCTGGAGTAAACTCAATTCTTCTTCGGGATACGGGTCTCGGTGAGGATGGAGTTGTATTTCTAATATTTCAACGGCTGAAGCATGATTCAAGATAAGTTTAAGCATTGCCATCTCATCCTCCAACTCCTCAAATCCCCAGTAACGAAATTTCTTGACAGTGGATTTCAAGCATTTGGGAACAGTGGTAGTCGAATGTTATGGATGCTGAGTTTCTCTAAACCGGAGCATGAATCAATCAAATCCATCACACACCTCAAAGCAGGAAAATGATCACAGCCATCAATTCCGATATCCAAATTAGTTAGTCTTCAAAACGTTCCAATAATTTGAAACAAGCGGAGGTTGGATTGGTGGTCCGGGATAGAACGGAGATTAAGAAACCCAGAATGTAAACATGAGAACTCATCTTGCAACAAAATGATTTCCTTAGAGCCATAATCAGTCAGGAACAAAGCTTCAAGTGCGGGTGTATCAATTACAAGCTTGGAATGATGATGATCACCATCAGATTTGGGTGGCACACAAGAATCCCAATAAAAACGTTTTATAACAGGGGAAGTTATGGTATAAACCACCATGTTATCGTCCTCGTACCTCCGAATTTTGAGAAATCCGAGGCGGGGAGCTCCGGAAATGAGGTTCGGGAGGGATTCATCGGATTCGTAACAAACGCTCTCTAGTTCCAAGTAAGAAAGTTTTGGAAGACAAGTTATTGCGTGGCTAGCTTTGATGAGAATAGCCAAACCACACAATGTCAGCGTTTTTAGTGTCCCGCAAGTGTAGAGTCCACCGGGTACTCAACAGTTCCGCCATGATTGTAACGGCGAAGATCCAAATCCAGGACTCCGAGATTTCGGGCTACGGCAGAGTTGATCCATGTGTTGAGATAATCGTATTGGAAGCTGTTGTCGATTGTGATATGTAACTTGTTCATGGAGACATCAACATACTGACTAGTAATTCGCAAAACAGAGCCAACGAATTCCACGAAATCATAATTACCACGTCTTTTAGTACTATAAGCTCCAGTTCTTCTTCTTCTATCAACCCACAGTCGATCATCAAAGTGGAAGTCGGTTCTTTTAGTCCAATGGTATCTCAGGTAAATTGCATTCTGAGGATGTGGCTTATGATTGATTCCGGTAAATTGCTAATCCGATCCACCAGAATCTCATCCATCCTGGATTCCATTGAGTTTCTCCTGGACGTCTTTTCGATGGAAGTTCTATAAGGTGGATGATGTTCTATCATCGCCAAAGGAAGTTCCATGCTTTCATGTGTGGTCCTGTTTTGGACAAAAGTCTCATCCGACAACATAATCTACGGGAAGGAGGGAAAGGATGATGCAAGTGATTGATTCGGGTAAATTAAATTTGCTCAAAAGAGAGTAGTACATTAAATTAGAGTACCGGCGTAACAAAATTGAATGTAGTAGAGGACGCCGGAAAGGAAACGAGATAAAATATGGTCTACAAATCGGCCAATCTTTCATGAGATAAAACAACCTAATGTAACTTTGCGACAAAGTAGTTATAGCTATCTGGAAGTTCTGCAACCTTTGTAGTATTCTCTCCATGTCAAAAAAAATAAAATAAAATAAAAAAACCCCACTTTGTTGAACAAATATAATACCACAACGAAAATTACAAAATAGACCTTTTTTTTTGTTTTTTTCAGTGAGGAGTATTTATTCGTTAAAATGCTTACATACCTTTTACAACAACCCAAAAAAAAAAAAAAAGGAAAAAGAAAGCAGATAGCAACGATTCATCAAAGGATAAAAAATGATACTACAGCCTGAAACGAATGGATTTACATGGTTTTCAGCAAGATTAATGTAGCATCTTTCCCTTAAAATCAATGGTACCTACATTGACTATCAAAGGCTACAACCCCACGATCAGGCGGTGCATGAACAGATGATTTTACATATACCAAAGGATATTTCCAGATCTTAAACATTGCTACTAAATGGTAGACTTTTCAGAAAGTTCTGAGGTCTTCAGAAATATCAACTGTAACCATATCTCAAGAAATTGATATTTTACAAGTTGGAGAAACTGCGGCAGACAAGAAAATCTCCTTGAATTCTTCTATGGTATAAGGTTCCCAATCAATAGGGGTTCTTATTTCAAAACTCTTCATCACTAAGGAATGATTCAAAATAAATTTAAGCATGGCCATCTCATCCTCTAGAGCTTCAAACCCCAAATAAAAAAATCTAGTGACACTCGACGACAAGCATTTGGGAACCGTAGAAGG